TGTTTACTGAAATTAAAGTGCAAAAATTTAAAGAACACAATCGAAATGTTTTTGGCCTATGCCCCGGAGGTTCGGTGACCACAGCCGACACCTACATCCCCATTGAGCATCCAAGTTATGGATTATGCTCGGTTCCACTATAAATCCCAAATCGGCAACCAAGGTTACAAGAATGTTCAGAACAATCACAAAGAAAGTACAAAAACACTTATCTCTCAGTCATACAACAGTAGATTCACTCGAATCACAAATAATCAAACACTAAATCACAGGAACAACTGCACAGCCTCACGAATACTTTACACAGATATTCACTCAGAATATCCCCACAAAGGAACCAAAATATTATATAATATAATCAAATCAGAGATTTGATTTATAGAAGAAAAGTATTCAAAGAGACGCAGCCAGAGAGAGAGAGAATGGATGAAGTTGAAACCCTAGAAGAATAACGCTCCTTTTTGATATGCCAACTGAAAGGGCATAAATCATTAGAACCATCCACAAGCAGATCTGACGGCCAACATCAGTCCAGGTGTCACACATCCAGCAATAGGCTGGATTAAAAGAGTTGTCATTTACCAAAGCACGACTTAACCAAATTTTGGAAGCAACCAAATTGAACGCGGTTCAATTCCAACATTTTTGTTCTTATTTAATATTTTGTGCAGTAGTTCTGTTCTGGTTTTATCCAATTGTTGGGTTTTGAGACCAATAAATCCCCAGAGATATGTTACTTGTTGGAAATTCTCAATCGACTTTGACCAAATGATTGAATAATTATCGACACATCTATGAAATAGCTCCGCTTGAAAATCACTTAGGACCATTTGAAGTGGCCAATTTAATTGGATAGCTCATGTTTTGTTCACTTGTTGGAGGCTTATATTAGTTGGCCCATAATCCATCTTTTTGGCCCACTTAAATGATTAACCTAAGCCTATACATATGCAGCCTCCTTTCCTCATTAACGTGTGTTATTTTCCCTTTGATTAAGAGCAAAAAGAGGCTGTTTTATCCTTGCTTTGTGCCCTACAATTTTGCTCCTCTTCTTGCCTTTGTGGCTGTCTTCTGTGGGTGCCTTTACAAGGCTGAAATAATACCCTCTTTTGTGTCCTTCGTGGGTGCAATTGGTAGCAACCGAAGTGACCAAGTGGTGCGGCTTTGGGTAGTTGATTGGAGGTGTTAGTAAGGTCGAGATTGATACACTGAGCCCAAAAAAAACCTTGTTGTGGTCATCTTCCGCAACATTCCATCTCTAAACAAAACAAGCACTTAAAATAAATTGAATCACATGGATGACAATGTCATTATCACAACTTAATTATGAAAAAACACGTGTTCGATCGGTGATGACAATATGATAATGCAACAGCCATGAGCAATAATATGATAGTGTAGTTGTCAAGATTCTGTTTGACCTTCATCATGGGCTAATTAGTCGATGAGAAATAAAAAAATTAAGCCATACTTAAACACGTAAAATGGGGGTTAAGTGATTTTTTTTTTAATAGCATAGCTGTTTGTATGTGGTATTTTTTATTGACAATTAAATGATTCTGCTTGTTGTCATGTACTCGTGTGCACCCTATACTATATTTTTTTTGTTGTCCAAATATAAGCAAGACCCGTGTTTTCATGAGTTGAATGTCATATATTAGTAGATCAACTTCATTTCTGTCAAGATTCCAAATACTTCAAGAAAGGTAGTCCTTCATGACATTGAGATCTTCATGATCCAATTTTTCAGCTTCAAATCCTCGCATTTACAAAATAGTCAAAGCTTGTTCCCTTTCTGTTTCAGATTCTTGGAGCACGAAACTCATGTGCAGTAATATTTATTTGAATTTCCAGCGGTGATGAGACATTGGATGTGCAACATATTCTTTCTGTTTCCTTTTATTACTCTCTCTATAAATAGATGGTGCCGAAGGTATTGTCTTAAACATCTTTTCTCAAGATTCAAATTTTACAAAGGTCTTAAAAATCATTCATTTCACCAAAGAAGATGGCTTTTCATGTTAGATCAAACAGTTATGTGAATTTAATTCCACTTACAATTGAACAAATCAAACAAATTAGTTTATGGAATTAAACAATAAATGGAAATCAATTCAAGAACACGAAGTTGAAGAACAGTTGAACAATAGAATTTCCCTTTAGACTCAGAAAATCTGATCCACCACCACAAAGGTAACACCAAGTTTTGGAGAATGACACGGGCATACAAAGATAGGAAGAAGGACCAGAGAAGTTCTACAAGTTTGAATGAAGGAAGAGAT